CGATGATATTGTATTTTTTTGGCGTTGATTTTTAAATGTATCTAGTTCTTCAAAGTCATCAGCGAGGTAGGATGTTGTTTACAAAAATTTGAAGGGGTTGTCTTGTGAAAACTTTCAAACTTTGATATCAGAAAATGGTAAATTCTCATTTTTTTTCGTTTTTCTTAAAATTGTCATCAAGCTCATTTTCAAGAGCTTTGAAGTCAATAAAACCTGATGGCTCATTTTGTTGACCTCAAAGTATGGAGTGATCTTCTTTGCTGTTCTCATAATTTGAAAATACTGAGAAGGGACATAAATGCCGCCAGATTTTAAACTTCTTCCAATTTTTTTTCGATAACCGAGTGTGCGTTATCCCCCTTATTTTGGGTATGCCTCTTAATTAAATATTTATGCTCTATCGTTTTTATAGTGTCGAAGACACAGAGGCTGTACATGTACATCATTAATATGTATTTGTTTTTCTACTGACCTCCGCAATTGTCTGTGTAGAATACAAAACTTATATTTTGCTCTTTTTTCCAGTTAGCTACTTTTTCAATATATTTAAACACTGAAGTCCCGATCTCGATGGCTCCTCGTTTGGCTTCGCCCTCGTGCCACACGTTGCAAATACATTCATTACTTTTAAGATCGTAGATAGTTATATTATACGTCGATAATTTTGATCGGTAATAAAATAACGATACATCGCCCCTAGGCGTCGGAAGGGCAGCTTGGAGGTTATAAACACAAACAAATTTAGATTTGTCTGATCCGTTTTGTCTTTCTCTCTCTGCTTCTTTTTTTTTTGTTCCAGGTGATTGTTGTATTGTGTTTAGAATTTTCGTATTGTGTATAAAGTTCGCACTGATTCTTTTTAGGTATAAAAAAAGATACGTTGAACTCATTGAATATTTCAAAAAAGGTTGTCCGACACCCAAATGGTTTTTTAGTTACTTATATTTATTCGCATATTCGCGATGGTCCGCCCTCCTTCGATGAATTCACGTTCAGTTTGCGCCCTAAGATAGTGTGACGGTATTCTTGGAATAGAATTTATTGGGGCGCGAATATCTTCCTTGATACTGTTGGAGAGTTTATTATGATTACCATGTTTTCCACGATTATCAGTTTCAAGAACACCATCAACAAGTTTTTTTCTAATTGTCATCACTGTGGTTGAAGAAATAGAAAGAGTCACACAAGAAAACCGTTTGCACATACGTATGTCATTTACGTTTATTTTAAAATAATATGCGACATTTCCGAGTCTTGTTTTATTCTGGAGAAGCGGTGGAATGTCTTTAATGTGACGGTTTATGAATTCTTACTGCTTCTGCACCTTAGACCATAAAAACTGATAGACACGCCTTGCACCGAACCGTTGAAGCAAAGACCTTCCGCGAAAGTGACGTCACAATGAGGCAAGAGCTCGCTTGGATTCTTAGCAAAGCACTAGTATAATTACCCAATTTTAGATTAATTTTAATATAACTTCAATATTTTGTAAAAAATATGGAAGATAAATTATTTAGCAAAGTAATTAATAAATATTTTTGCCTTAATTTGTAAAAATAAATGTTTTATTTGAAAGTACATACCTACATATATTATTATATATATCGTTGGTATATTACTTTTTGTTTGATATTCAGAAATAAATTTAAAGGAGAATAATTTTCTTTTGGGTGGAAGTTTCAGGATAGGTAAAAAATATATAGGAAATCTATTAATTTATTGACCACAAAACAAAATAGCTTTTGTTAACTTACTTCTAACTCTTATTACATTATTTAGTTTTTCACCTTCGTGGTACAATCTAATGTTGCAATAATGGAAACAAATTATCTTTATTAGATTAAACAAATGGTTTGTTTCAAATTCATGATCAAACATAAATGTTCTTTGTATGCGTTAAACACAGAACCATGCACGTTACTCATGACATTTAAGATCAATTTTGTCATTATTTTGGAATCGTTTAATTTTTTTGAATTGTACATAAATTTAATTTCGCTTTCAGCAATTTTGCAAATATGAATGACATCTTTAGAAGGTTGAATTAAAAAATCTTTTGACATGCTATAATTTTTGTGTCTTATGAATGGAGATTGTAAATTATCACATTCAATTGTACACAAACATATGTCACAATCTAATGTTTTCTTAACTTTCTTAACGACAAACCCAGCGATATAGTCAACAACATCACAAACATAAGATGACAATGTTCTTGAAAAACTTAAATTATTTACAGTATAATCCTGATTACTAGTTATTGTATCAATATTATTTTCATCAATTATAAAGTTATCAATGAGTTGATGATCAACAGTTTTCATTTTCACAGTATTTGTTGTACTCATTGTATGGAAGGTGCCTGTTCTATACAATTAGCCTGGGTAGATCCTGTAACACTTGTGTGCATTAACAGTCTTTTATATGCAGCTTTAAATTGTTTTGCCGTTGGGTTGTTGTTGTAACCTCCATGACTTCTAATAGAACTAAAGAAAACTTCTAAGTGATCTTGAGAAAGTTTATAGGCCGAAAGATACTTCAGACCTCCATCCATATCCTCCACGTAATTTTTCCAAATTCCCATTAGTGATTTCAAACTAATGATCATACCAATAAAACCCGTCTTTCTTTGGCTTAGATATAGGGGTTCACCATTTTTGGAACACTTAAGCGAACTAAGATATTTTATAGATTCTTCAGTTTTTTGAAAAATCGCTTGTTTATTATGATGCTGTAAACTAGATTTTAGGTGTTTTGCCAATAAATTTCGGCTATTTAAAATATCAAAAATATCATTGATATGTTCAATGAAATTTTGAGTAGCTTCGCTATGTACAAATTCTTTTGAGCTTTTATTTCTCAAATAATGTATTGCCTTAGCAACTTTTTGGCTGAACGTTTGGGCAGCTAATTTCACTTTCATTTTTTCCTTATACCAATTTAAATGCCTTCGCGTTATCCTAGTTGCAAGATGAAGGCCTTCCTTCTCTTGAATGTCTACTAATTTTTGCAAATATTCCCATTTAATCGCTTTATTATTCCCGTAAAAAAAAATTGGTAATAACCTTAAGTATTGCGAATAAGTTTCAACATATGTGGAGGGTCAAACATTACATATATCGGTTGATTTGTTGCTGGATGTAGAAAATATACATTATTGTATTGTATTGTATTGTTATAGAAAATATACTAAGTATTATTAATTTTCCTTACCGATAGTTTCAGATAGGAATCTTCATCGATCATCTGTTTTTCTTTAAGATGTTCTAATAAAGATTTTAAGGTATTTACTTTTTTTAATTTGTTTGTATTTTGATTTGTTTGTTTTTCTTTTGAATTAATTTGTTTACTACTACTTTATATCCCTGGTTTCTGTTAGACGATCCTTGTTCAAAGTCACCAAGATAATGTCTTCGCTTTTTCAAGGGAGGTTCTAAGGTAGTTTCGTCTGAAATTTCTACTGGAATCTTTATGGTGCTAGATTCACTCGTTATATTTATATTTTCCCTTTTAGATCCTGTTGGTTTGACTGAAACAGTTTCTCTTTTTTTTGTAAATTTTCTAGGTGTAACTTGCTTAATTAAATGGTTTGGAAAATCGAAAATGCTAGGTACAGCATCTTTTTTTAGTTGTTTTTTTAAACTCCAACCGCTAGTAATATACGAATCCGCTGTGAAATGTTTGGAGCAAATTTTAGAACTCTTTGTTGGTTTAAAATTTTCACGGCGCATCGCTATAATCCATTTTTTTTGCAATGACGAATCTTTAGGAAATCTAAAACAATTTATTTACTTAATACTTTAGTTTTCAATCTAATTATAAAATGAAAATTATATATAAGGGAGCAAAAAGTAAAATAATAGGTGCTAAATTTCTGGTATTTTTTTCAAGTTTAATTTGTGAATTTACTTACCCGTGAAATGATATATCTGTCCCTTTTTTTTGTAGCTGCGTACAATTAAATGCACTGCAAGATGCCACCATAATTATTATAATATTAATGTATTGGAAAAATTTTAAATTTAAACACTTTAAAACGTTTACAACGCGTATAAACACTACCAATCTCTACCGTTTCTGCCTCAAACTGACGTCACCCACAGCTGTGTGAATCGTTTTATGTTGGCTTCACTCCTCGAGACGACAGAATAGCATTACGGCGCGTCTATCAGTTTTTATGGTCTAAGTTCTGCACATCTCCGAAGCCCCAATATTTTTGGAAAAGTTTAAACCGTTCGTGTTCAGAAATTTTGGTCGTACATTTATGAATGCATTTTGTAAATCCTGCTCCAATTTTTCTTGAAGGAACAACTGTTTTTGTAGACTTAGAAGTGTACTTTTTCCCTAGGATTCGTCTTTTTTTGTAACATTGGTTTCCAATTTTCAGGGTTCGCTCGTCGTTTTCTTGTTTTTTTTACGGAGACATCTTTTTCATTTCCTTCACCTGTAATCAAAATCATGTACGAAATAAGAATAAATATTATATTTACCTAAATATTAATTTACCTTCACTCGATAGTTCATCATCACCTTTCTATGTAAAAAATCTGGATCTGCATAGCTGTCATCAACCGGCGATAATTTCTTCGACTCGTGGTGCTGCTAGATGAAAAGCAGGAGGATGATGAACCGCTGGTTGAGCTGGAGGACGATAATATCTCGTTCACTTGGTTTTTGCTGACTTTGGAATCATTTTTTGATGTTTCTATACATCTTTGTACAGATAATATCAATGATTAAGCCAAGTTTTACACAAAAAAAATTGAAATAGAACAACAAACTGTTACTAGCAATAATCACAATTTAAACACATTCCCTCAATTTTCATTAACCAAAAGTATGTCAAAAATATCTTCACTTAAAAGTAAAAAGGAACCAATAAACTTCTACAAATTAATGAATTGTGAACGTTTGGCCCTTAATCTAAGTAGGGCTGCTCTGGAAAACTATCAGTGGAAAATGTATCGATAAGCTACAAAAAATAAGTAAACAAATTATTTATTGTAAAACGATTTATTTACCAGATCATACTGTTTACAAAGGTTTAGTAAATTACACATAAACGTCACTCAGGTAAAAGGTATATTTACACACACTCATGGACAAAAATATCGAATATTTTGGAATTTTCCAATTTTTTTGTAGTAACTATTATTTCAAAATAGTTTTAGATTACTGATGATACTCGTATAGTAGGCTGATGTATTCAACTGGTTTGAAATATTTTGACGTTTATTCATCGATTAATGTCATTCGTACATTTTATCATAAAAAACCTTTTTCACGTAACGAAAAAATCAAACTAATTCGGTTATTTTGAGTTTCTGCGATGAAGCCCAAGTCTCACAGATTGTAATTTTGTATGAGGAAGGATCTACACAAAAAGATATCGGACAACTTCTCAGAAGAAATCAATCTACAGTTTCGAATACTTTAAAAAGGTATCGTGAAACAGGAAATTTTGTACGAAAGCCTGGTCAAGGACGCCCCAGGTGCACAACCGCAATTTGATGACTGTTTTTGGTTCTTAATTCTACACGAAATCGCTTATTGTCATCGGTGCACCTCATAAATGAGTTACTAAATGTTAGACAAGTTAATGTAAGTTCAGAAACAATTAGATGAAGAATGAAAGAAGCAAACTTAAAGCCCAGACGCCCTGTCAAACTTCCATGTCTTTTCCAAAATCATAAAGCTCGTCGTTTAGAATGTGCAAGAACACATTTAGTGGAATATCGACAACTCGAAAAATGTTCTTTTTTACTAATAAGGCCAGAATCCTATTATGGAAGCTAGATGGTCGAAACCACGTCTACAGAAGAGTTGGAGAACGATTCACCACCTGCAATCTCGCCTAGACCGTTAATTTTGGAGGTGGTGGTATAATGCTTTGAGAAGGTATTAGTTGGGAGGTACGCATTGCACTTGTGGAAGTGATTGTTGGATGACTGATGATTCTTACGTTTAAAGCATTCTGCAAGGTAAGGTTTTGCCATAATGTTGGTTACATTGGATCTGACAGATTTATGTTAATACACGATAATGCTCGACAATATGCCGCTGCCATAGTAATTATCTTGATCAGGTTCAAATTCGAAGATTGGATTGGCCACCGTTTAGCACGGATTTAAATCCAATAGAGTACATGTGGGAAAAGCTAATCCGCCGCATACGACAAAGTAATCACGTTCCAAATACGATAGAGCAGCTTCGGCTTGATGCACATGATGAATGGAATGCAATTTCCAAGGATATGTCCTTTACTTGCAAGCATGCCGAGAAGCATGCAAGCAGACTTTATTAAGCAATTTAAATTAGCGTTTAAGTTTAGAGTAAAATAACCTTATTTACCTAGTACTAGGCATTATTGTTTTCGCAATTTTCTCCCCATAAAAATTCATTAAATATTGTTAAAATAAACTATTTTTCACAATAAATGACTTGATTGACCAGAATTTATTTTGAAAAAACAAAAATTAGAAAATTCCAAAATTTTCGATATTTTTGTACATGAGTGTATAAAAATATCCAAAATGGATTATTTAAAAAGTTTTCGGTCCTATCAGACCATCATCATGAGTGAATATTGATAAAACATGTGTACAGCCACAAAATGTATACGATAAAACGTTAAATTTTTTATTATTAAATTACACTTAACATTATTGGCGTAACAACAATTTTAAGTTTAATTTAAGAATTAAAATGGAACATTCAAGATTTTTGCTGCTATACATGATGTGGACGCACGCATGTTTTGATCAAGACATGATGATCTGAAAAGACCGAAAACATTTTGATAAATTTTAAATACTGCATTTTGGATATTTACATAAATACCTTGTACAAAAACAATGAATTAAATTACAATATTTATAATACTAAGTTTTGCTTCACTGGTCAATAACCCAAAGAATGTTTACTCCTGCCCGTCCAAGATTAATTCTTCCTAACATTCCATGCTCAATTTTATTAACTTGATATATGAAAAATAATATACTGTGGAATAAATTGTTATAACCCTAAAAATTAAAAAATAAATTATTTTCATGTTTAATTACAATTTTAATTAAATAGAAAATCAGTAGACATTTTATAGATAATGTACGAGTAATATATCTTTCTAAAGTATTCGATGAACCTTAAACGGTCCTGTGGGCATGTGATTGGGCGGGATCTTATTAGCCAATTTAATTTCTACTTTTCTGTAGAATTGAAAATATGGTGTTTTATACTCCGCCAAAAAAGTATCGCGTCACTTATAAAATTACAAATATTTCTGACAGCATTTGTTTAATTTAAACTATTTCTTTCTGACCCTTAAGAATATTAAGGCTAGAATAAATATTAAAAAGAAATTTGTAAATCTAGCTTATTGTTCCAGAAAAAAAAATATCAATTGCTATTTTGTCTGGTTTTTATATTATCAGCCTTTATTTTACTTTCGTACAAAGTATACAGTTTGCGTTTATTTTAAAATTTCGTATTACATATTGAGTATGGAACATCGTGACAATATAAATTTAAATTTAACGAGAGATCAAGTGGTTAGAATAATTTCCCTCATTGAAGACGGAAGGAGTCAGAGATATGTGGCAAATTTAGTGAGTGTAAAGCAATCGACAGTATCACGAGTGGTAGTAAGGTACCGAAATGATACCATTCTGGAATGGCGACCAAGGCAAGAGACATATCGAAGCAGAGGACGACCACCGACTAGATGGACGGATGATATCTAGCGCATCAGCACAAACTGGATGCAAGAAGCTCAAGATAGAAATAGGTGGAAAATTTTACGGAAGGCCTACGTTCAGCAGCGGACAAATATAGGCTAATAATTGATGATTATGATGAAACCAACAGAAGTATACGCGAACAATGCAAAATTCAAATTCAAATGAATAAAAACAAGAAAAAAAACTGGAACGAACATGTAAACCAAATGGGACCAGATAGATTAGCGAACAACTGTAAAAACAACAAACCGTATAGCAGAAGACCTGTTGGAAGGCCGCCAAAAAGGTGGAAAGATAATGTACAGTCAATAACGACTGAAAAAGAATAAGAGGCAGACAAACAGGAGTAATCCTAGTCGCACGAGGAAGAAGGAGAAGCTATAACTTTCATGTTTGTGGACCTTTATGTATAAAAATTTATAACTTTTCAGTATGGGGAATTATAATGCTGCCTACTTCGATGTAGCTGATAGAGGGCGGCACATATGTGGCATAAGTTTACGTTTACGGCTCTTCAAGTTAGCACTTATGCAACTTAAATAAATTAGAAGTAACCACAGATCACCTACCTCTCCTAGATGTTCCACGACAATACTTTAGTTGGATATGAAATTCAGCGCTCCATAAGATTTGTATCGGAACTAATTCAAGCGGGAATTTCAAATTTTAATTATGGTGGGAAAATTTAAATATAGCTTGAAATATTTAAATATAATTTGGTATATTTGAAAAAAAAATGCATTTGACATTTTTAAATTCAAATATACACAATACCATTTAGGAAAAAATAAAACAAAATGTAATTTATTTATTTATTTAATACTTGTAAAACAACTTTGTAATTTAGAATAGAATAAAAATATGCTATTACCACTGAAAATTGTACATTTTTATGGACAAAGCTTACAAAAAGTCAGAAAAATAGCAATTTAAAATTTACTGAAATTACATAAATCGTCAATATCACAAAGTAAAAGATAATAAAATACACAATGTATTGCAAAATTTAAATAAATTGCATAATAAATCCTTACGAACTAATACATTTAAGTTTCTGCATGTGATACTCAAATATATATTTCTACAAATAGTTTAGTTACTTGTACATAACACTATTTGTTAAGAAACTCTTCTACTGAATATGATCTTTATAATAGATAGGATTTTGTTCTTTTACGGAACTCAAGGAAAAAAGTTGCAGATTTAGTTTGCAAAGGGAGATGGTTATATAATCTTTTTACTGAATATAATATAGATTTCTTTACTAACTCCGTGGACGGGATCAGTAAATACACATTAAAGGTTGAATTTCTGGTGGAGTAGTCATGATTAGGTCTTGCTGAAAAAACATGTAGGCGTTTACAAATTAAGCAAACAGTTTCTAAAATATATAAAGAAGAAAGACTTAAAATCTCGTGATTTTTGAAGTATTTTCTGCAATATGTTATTCTACTGAGACCAAAAAGATACCATATTGCTGTTTTTTGTTTGTAATTTAAAAACAGCTGTCAGATTGGGCAACTGTTCTAGAACCCCAAAAATGAAGACCATATCGAAGATGAGACTCAAACAAAGACAAATATGTTATTTTGGAAGATTCTAAATTTTCTTTAAAACAGATCTTATTGCATAGCAGACTGAGGCTAGTTTCTTACTTAACAAATCAATATGAAGGGGCCATTTAAGGTTGATGACTATAAAAATACCAACAAATTTTACAGAATCAATGATACTGATCTGGCTATTATTAAGAAGCAAGGATTGAAGAGATTTATAGGATAATGCTACTGTCTTATCCACGTTAAAAGGGAGTAAATTAGAGTCTGATTAGGTTTGTATTTTAAATAGATCAGAAGTTATAGCTGCATGAAGAGTTGCAATATTAGAGTTTCTCCAGGTAATACTGGTATCATCGGCAAAAATAAAAATGATTCCATCGGTTTTAAGTTGGTGATGTGATTTATAAAGATAAGGAAAAGTAGATTATCCAATACTGAACCTTGTGGTACTCCACCTACAATACTTTTGTGACTAGAAGCTGTATAATTTGCCTCTAACTAGTTATTTCCTATTCTCTAAGTAAAATTGGAACCAATTCAAATAAATACCATAGAAATTTTGTTTTTTTTTATCAAAATGTCAGTGTAAAGATTATTGTGTAGTGCTTGATAGACCTCATTTGGTACATACATAGCATCACTGGTACATTTATTACATAAAAACCCAATCTGACTTTTGTGATTTTTTACAAATCATTAATAAAATCATATCTTAAACTAAAAGAGCACATAATACACACTATATAAGCATGAATATAAATTAATGACTGGTATTGAGATGACCAATTATGGGGATAAATAGGATACTATGGAACATATATTTTTTATGTGTGCAACTAATGATAAGTAAAAATATGATACCAAGATCTCTAATGTCATTCATTTTAGTTGCTTTAGTAGGTACTTGAATGTATTTATTTATTTATTTATGCATGTACCATTTACACAGGAACACAAATATAAAATTTCTACAGTTAGCATATTAACATGGTAAATACATAAACTACTCAAAGGCCGTTTGGAAATACCTAAAAAAATACAAATTTCAATGTCAAAAAACAATTAAGATTTATTCTAGGAAAAAAATGTACATCAATAATGGGTACAGTCACCTGTGGCTGAAACATCTGTGAAGATTGTGCATCTCTACTTGTTGAAGGACTCGTAACTAAAACAAAAAGTTAATTTAATAATTTGTACCATGATTCACTTCAGGTAAAATAATGTTTGTTAATTACATATTAGGGTTACTTACTTTCTGTTACATTTGCTTCCCCACTCAACATTGAAATACTTCTGGGATGTACATTAGAAGAAGAATCTAAAATCGATCATCAATCAGTTATTTGTTCTCTAATATCAAATATTTATTGGACTCACCATACAAATGTAAGCTAGGAATAGCATTTTTATCCAATTTATGACTCCATGAAGAAACAAACTTATCTTCAAAGTGTCTGTGGCAGATTCGTTTTGTTTTAAAAACTGTACTAGCATTCATCATATCTAAATTATTATTGTTTATAACACAAAGCCACTTCCTAAATCGTGTAATGTCTTTATCAGGATTTGGAAAGGCATGTCTAATTAATGACGAATTGGTACATTGTAGGATACAACATTTATTGTGAAGAACCATATTTAACTAATTATTATTAATCTGCAAACTACTGTTTGAACACCGCCAGGAACATTTAAAACACAGATCACTGAGGTAGGGGATTTGTAATTTACAATTTAACAAAATCAAAATATAGACAAAATATAGACGCTAATATGACAATTGGCGATTGACAATTATAATTCTTAGTTGTGTTCTAAACCTAAATTGTAGAGTAAAGGTAAAGACAGACTAAAGCGACATCTGAAGATTTGTATCGGTACTACAAATGACATTAAGTTTGGTTTGACCTTGAGCTACCTACGTGAAACGTCTAGTTATTAGTGGTCTGTGGAAGTAACTAAGTATATACGTTCGAAATTTTCGTATAAAAATCATACAATCGATGTCACTAATAAGTTCACCTATCTCTCTGTTGTTTTCACCTTTTCTAGTCTATTTCGAGAAATGGCAGTCTCAATAACGTCAAAAGCAAGACTCGCCATCGCTTCTGTCTGACCACTTCTTATAAGAAGTAAAACCTGTTCCTTCACCTCCATACTTCATATTTTTGAATCCCTAGTTTTAAGTATAGTTCCTAAGTTGGTAACTCTAATGATTGTCGCTAATTTTTTAAAAGCATTTTACTTTTATTTTTTAACACACCAGACTACGTTGTTAGATTAGAAACTGGCCGTGTTAAAATTGTATGCAATGTGCTTTGCAACGGTGCTTTGGTGCTTGAACTATACTAAAGTTTCTATATTGTAGGCAGTAAATTCTTAGAAGTAACAATGATGTTTCAGCGTTATTGTAGGTCTTCCCACGGCGTACGAAAAATGTAATAAGCTAGTTACAGCTACCTGGGGAAAGGTAACTCTAATGCCACAAATTGGTCGCATTGCTCCTGTAGTGATCCTCTCCCAAGTTAACATACTCATTTTCTAAATTGGCTGCACCGTCTTGAAGACGACCAATAGTCAGAAATACGTATATACTGTTGCCTTCCATCGATATACCTTTTTTGGTTTTCTGTTTTGCGAGACATGCCAATACATTTTACTTATATATATGAAACAACAAGAAGTTTGGAGACTTCTATTCAATGGCGAATTAGGTGAACTGTA